TGAAACAAACATGGCGGACGATCAGAATCAAGACGATCATTTGAGGCAATTTGTTTCGGATGAGTGTAAAGCACAAGCAACTGAAGTGAGTACATGTTAAATGATCTATATAAAAATAATTTTATTGTGTATTTATTGTGTTGTGGAAAGATGACTGACTGCTTCTTTTTGATGTAGAACAACTTACAAAACATCGAAAATGGTATCGGAAAAAAAAAGCTTAAGTACGTAAGCGTGTTCTCATTTTTTTTCTCTCTCTCAGCGATCAGATGCTAATCCTGAGGATGCTGCGTTAGATGCTGAGAGGATGAACAATTTCTACCAACGTGCCTTGAACGAAAGCGAGCGGTGAGTACAAATAAACAACGTAAGACTTAACACTACAAACAGTTTCTGTCAAATTGGTTGCCATAACGTCTGTCATGTTATGTCCATGCTCTTACTTATCATCGCTTGCTGGTTTTGTCATCAATGAGAATTTGTCAGCACATCAAAACGGAGTCCTATTGTTGTTTTTACACAAAGCTTATACAGTCCTCGCCTGTTTTACCATCAAATCTCATGCAGACTCGTTACTATTTTATACCATGCCCGTGGACAACACAATCAATTTGCAGTGTACGATGGGAAGGTTGGGTGTAACGCTGTCAGTGGCTTTCCTGTATTCTGATAGCAACAATAAAAATCTTCTTAAGGACCCTAAAAAATTATTTACAGTAATATTTAAGAATCTATAAAATCCTTTACCAGTTTACGTTTCATGTTAAATTTAAAAGCAAATACTGATTTAATCCAGGGGGGAGTAGAAAAACTCTTAGTCACTTAATGCTACAGAAAGTGGGATAAGCTCAGGCTCAATGGGCCACTTGGCCCAGTGCAGACTTTACCTTACCTGCAGCTTACCCCCAACTGTGCTGTGAGCTTAGTTAGTTTAAAGAAAANTCTCTCTCAGCGATCAGATGCTAACTCTGAGGATGCTGCGTTAGATGCTGAGAGGATGAACAATTTCTACCAACGTGCCTTGAACGAAAGCGAGCGGTGAGTACAAATAAACAATGTAAGACTTAACACTACAAACAGTTTCTGTCAAATTGGTTGCCAAAACGTCTGTCATGTTATGTCCATGCTCTTACTTACCATCGCTTGCTGGTTTTATTGTCATTAGTGAGAATTTGTTAGCACATCAAAGCGGAGTCCAATTGTTGTTTTTACACAAAGCTTATACAGTCCTCGCCTGTTTCACCATCCAATCTCATGCACACTCGTTACTATTTTATGCCATGCCAGTGGACAACACAATCAATTTGCAGTGTACGATGGGAAGGTTGGGTGTAACGTTGTCAGTGGCTTTCCTGTATTCTGATTGACCATATTTTTCTATGGCATGATATGAAAGGTTGTATAACTTTCAGAATCAGTTCTTATCCTGAAAACTATCTGAGACACTCGGCAAGCTAACGAGAAATAGCTTGAATGTACAGTACAAGGGTTGGGGGTCCACAAGCACCATAAAAAAACAGATTTCTTTTGACAATCTACATGACTGCACTGCGCAGTGGCTAGTGCCCTGGACTCTGGATCAAGTAATCCAGGTTTGAGCCCCTCCCAGGGTCTGCTGCAGTGTTCTTGGGAAAGACACTTTACTCTCACAGTGCTTCTCTTCTCTTAGGTGTATAAATGGGTACCAGGGAATTTAATGCTGGGGGTAACCTTGTAATGGACTAGCATTCCATACGTACATACTTACATACTTTATTGACATTCCCCTAAGAGGCTTTTCAAAGACAATAACTTAAATTTAAATAAGTACAACAATAAAAATAAGATGGCA